CAATGAATATTGTAGTCAAGCCAAAGGAGAAAGGCAAGTTAGATTTATATGAACGCAATACCAAATAAGTGACTTGGAACAATCCACATTTGGATCATCGAATCTCGACTCCTATGAAATGCACTTTGCCGACTCCAAAACACTTCAGCAAATTGCCATTCACCCTGTTTGGGAAAGTGGCCACTCCAGCATGGAGCAAACCTGCTCAGTTCCACCACTGATGCCACCCAGCCTCTTAACTCCCAGGCTATGAACAGGGATCCTTCACCCATGCAAGGGGCACGGGCTGTTAGATGGGGAGGTTGCCACGTGTAATATGTGCACATGCCCCAGCACCACAGGAACCTCAGGCTGTGTAAAAGCAAAACATCTCTTCCAAGGCCCACAGCACGTTCATTTTCAGCTCCTCACCACCATCCTGATTTGCCTGTGCAAGAAAAGGGACCATTTACTATATCTTTAATCTCAGCAACTTCTTGTTTTTCTCTAGAAGAAACTTCACCTCTAAGAATGCTAACGCTACCTTACAGCATCTAATAATAACTTTGAAACAGTACAAACATAGGAATAAGTAGATTTAACTAAGAGTCAAGGATTATACAAGCTGCCATTAAAAAAACACCTCTTTTTGGACAACCAGCAAACCCACTCTTCCATCACGCAGCTGTGACTCTAGAGAACATGACAGGCTCTGGCAGCACTTCCTGACGAGAAGGCCATGCACTCAGTTACCTAAGAGTCACCAAATAAGTGACATTTATTAAGTGGCTCTTATAAAATAGAAAAGGCTGCTTTCCGTACACATAATCGCGTTCATAAACTGCATGAAGCAGCAACGCTTTCAGTGCAAGGCTCCACTTGGAAGGCTGTCAAAAGAGGAAGGAAAATGAAAAGCAAGAAGGCTTCCACACACCAGCATCGCTATGGGCAGTTCTCCATGCAGGTTCCTGGCCTCAGGATCCCATCTAACCTCCAATCTGATGACCCTGAATATTCCAGAAGAAAGGAGGTGCGGGCAAGGCTGTCAGAACAGAGGTGTGTAAGAGGTACTGCAGGGTTTGGGAAGGTGGGAATTAAGTCATCAGCTACCTCAGCACACCCAATGGCATCAAGACGCAGCTATCAGACCCCTCGGGTACCTTCACAAGAGGTATTAGAGTTGTATCACCCTCCACAAGGAGATT